AATGAGAATGCATTAGCAAAGTAAAGCACTGCAGTTTTACATAATTTCTGAGTAAGCTTTTCGTATGAATTGAAATATTTCTTGCACTTAAACTTGTGTTCCAAATTAAGATTTAACTCGAAATTAATGTAGATAATTACTGAGAGCATTAGATTTTTGTGGAGTAGTTTATGTGAGATGAGATCGCTTGGGATCACGTGATATGAACCGGCGAATCAGGATGTTGAACCATGAAAGCATAGTAAATTCTTAAATTAATGCCTTTATTTATTGGCTTTTTATAAAAATTTTAAGCGATAATAAAATGTTTATGCCTTCAAAAAATAATTCTTAGAACTAACATTTTTTTAATATTTTTTATGTGCATACTGTATGTTGTCGCCAATAAAGTCTGCTTGGCGAGATTTGCGACGACGAAACGGAAAAGTACCAAATTGCCTTTTCATGCCAGAACTTTATAAATCCATTCAGGAAAATGGGCACCAAAAATTTCCCATTACCATATAGCTAAAACAAAAACGAGAAGGAATGAAACAGGAAAAAAAAAAAAATGAAATTAATGAAAAGTGAAATGATAATTTATACATTTTTAACAGATATTGAGAAAGTTACATTTGATTAGAAAAACATGAAACAATATAACATATTATATTGAAAATTACACATCATGACTTTCAAAACAGAATACATAATACTATCTAGTTACATGAATGATCTAGTTAAATCTAGCATCGATAGATGGCACAACATTACGGTGACTTTTCAGGATGTCTCGCTATGCTGTGCCCCGCTTGGTGCCCCTCCTTCTGCAGATTCCTCAGATTTCTCTTCAGAGATTTTCCCACGTCCAGAATTTCATATCAGCAAAGTTTTCGATATATGAAGAGTGAAAATGTAGTTTTTGCAGAAATGTATTCAGTTATGAATTAAATGAAACCTTAAAGAATATTATACTTCTAAATTAAACATAATGCACCAGTTTAGTGCTATAAACATTAAACTAAGTAAGTATTTACAGTGAGAGGTGTGGTCAATAAAATGTTACAGAATTTTTATTGCAAGTATGGTAGCATGAAAAGCCCATTATAGAGGTCAATAATTTATACCTTTGCTTGTCTTAAAAATTCACTTTTTCTTAATTGTTTCTAATAACAAAATAATATATATTTCGAAACTAACCCTTCACGACCATATGTTTCTATAAAAAGTATAATTCAATAATAACAATAATTTTTATTGTATTATTCAGATTTTTCATGACAGGGAAAGGAAAATTCATTAGTGGGAGGAGCAAAATGATTCTGTAAGGGAAAGAATGTAACATGATTGACGAGTAAAACAGTAATGAAACGTAAAGGTATTAGAAATTTGAAAGCATTTGGAAGAGAAAGATTGGAAAATTAATATCATTAAGTAAACAAGAAAAATTATTAATGATGTGAAAGTATTCAAAGGAACACAATTGATTAAATGAAGAAAGCTTTGATGGATAATTTTTGAAGATTCCATATTAAACTGTAATTAAGTGACCACCATACTTAGCTGAAAAAAATTGTTTTCCTTTCGAAATTTAATTCATATTCCCTGATGATAAATTTCAGCGCTCTTTCAATTTGGCCAATATACACCAAAGAGCACGATACATATCAAACAATGCTAAATTATCCCAATGATTAGCAACAGATGACATATCTTTAAGAATCGAAAAATGAATTTTACTGATAGGTGAAAATTAACTTAAATATTGAATTTATGGATAAGCCAAGAAATTTTGTAATTCATAGTAAGTTTAAATAATGATTGGGTACATGTCAGCTAAACAATACTGTCGGCTTAGTGTCCTGTTGACTAAATGTTTTGACAGTTAAGTGTACCGTAGCTAAATGCCCTGATGGCTAACTCTCTATGTTGGCCAAATGTCCTGTCGGCTAAATGTCCATGTCGCCTAAGTGTATTTGACAGCTAAGTGTCCATGTCAGCTGAATGACCTGTCAGCTAAGTGTCCGTGTCGGCTAGGTGTCCTGTCGACTATGTATCACGGACCCGGCTACTACACCAAACCAAAATAACAAGTCAAAGAATTGCACAAACTCTGTGTCCATGTACACATCGATCTATTTTCGCTTTAAAAAACATCAGAGGACTGCAAAAACTCGGAACTGTACATCCCCTTTACTTTGTCCCTGTACACATCAATCGATTTTCACTTAAAAAAATTCAGGAGAATGATAATAAAATAATGATGTCATATAATGTTAAAACGAATTTACTCATCATCAAAATTGAACAAAATTTGTAGCCAATCGAAGCTCAATTAATTGCATTTTAAACCACACAATGAAATAACATAAAAAAGGAAATACATGTTATCGCATATGCACACTACAAAAAGGAAATATTGACTTACCACATTTAGAAATTTTTGCATCTTCAATCTGTGGCACACAAAATTCCTTAACAGCAACCAAAAACTTTCTAAAATTATCTGAACTAGAATATGCATACTGCCTCCACCGCATAAATTCACAAAAATATGAGTAAAAAACATCCTCCATAGTGGTGAACTGTTGATGGCATTTCTTGCATGAGCCTTTCAAGCAACAAACCCATCTGAACGATCTTTACATTCAACCATATGCATTTCCTTCATACAAACAGGACACTTCTAATGACTACTAAGTAAATCTTTATTTACACATCAGTCAATTAATGCTTTTTTTCCCTTTTGTTCCAAACCGTACAGAAACTTCAGATTAATTTCATCACATACAGCCATTTTATGGTGTACAGCACAAAATAAGCAATGTACTTCCTAACTGACATCCAACACAGAAAGAAGCCGTTACAAATATTTTCCCATCAGTCCAATTCACCGCAATCACGTCATATTAGAGTTTTCATAACATTCAACTTACTCAGGTTACCATAAACGACAAAACAATTTGATGATAATCCAAGGGACACCCTAAAATATAGACTAACCACAAAAATCAAAAGTTTTATGAAAATAGAATCATGACATTGCCTGAAAGATGACAAAAGGTCATGAACAAAAACAGACAATACCTTATTTAATAAAACTATATTTTCATTTAAAAATTGTGAATTTGCCTTCTAGTTTAAAATCTGCAATCAGCAAGTTGACAACTCAATAATTTGAAAAGCAAAAACAGAGAATTTTCTATACTCTCAAACTGCCAATTTACAAGGATCTTTGCTTAAAAACAACTGTTTGGTAACTTGGCGATTTTTTGGCGACCAACCCTGCTACAGCAACCTGCTAGTTTTTGTTTGGACGCCATTTTGTTTTCACAAAGTAAAGGCATGTTTTTTTTTTTAATCAACATTTTCTTTCCAACAATCTGCTAGCCGAATTATGCTTATGCTAGAACTTTTATGGTACAAAAGTGCTTAATCATGACGAAGATTAGGTGCGAAATTGGGAGAAAGTGCAGAATCGCAAACTGCTTGCCGCGTTTTTAAGAAATGCACATACATGGTATCCATGTACACGTCGACCTATTTTTACTTAAAAAAACATCCCAGAATTGCACAAAAATGGCATTTCACACACTCTTGACTTTATCCATGTACACTGCTAAAGTCCTAGCTAGTAACCTTTATCGCCTTACCAAAATGTCGCCAAACTACCTGTTACCATATTCCAAAGATTAGCCACAGCGGTTAACTTTAATTTATTCTTTTTTCGTGTAGGCAATGAAACTTGCACATTAGTCGTAATATGTGATAAGATATGAAGTATTGGCTAGTTGCTAAAGAACCCACTCTTCCTGTGTTCATTTTTTAAATATATGATTATGATAAATAAATAAAGAGGAAAGAAAGAAATAAGGTCATAAAAGTTAAATTAGTATGCTTTCATTTCATTATTTTGATTATTAGCACATGCAGCATATTTTAAAGTAATTACATGGCATAATGCACTTTAAACAATAAAATGGTTTGATCTTAGTATATGGTACATAAGGGATTTGGTGACATTATGATTATCAGTAAATGTGGTGTTTATGATGAGCAGTAAATGAGTCATTTTGAGTGGCAGTGACAATTTTCAAGGTCGTACCATATACTAAAATTTTACCCAATAAAATTACTGACAGTTAAAACATGTCACAGTTTACCAAACACCTGCTTAAAATAGCAATTGCACTTCTGAAATTAGATTGTTTCTTACAACCATAACCTGCGTTTAACGAGCCAAAAATGACTCATACAGTATGGAAACCACAGTTTGGTCATGCCTGGCATATACAGACAAAAAGAGAGTGTTTATCTTTTATAAGTATATGAGCAGTAGTTCAATACATGCTGGTGCGAAATGTAATCTCAAACAGTGATGGTAACTTTAACAATATATTCAAAGTGTGTTGCTGCTCAAAAATATCTATTGTCACATCGGTGAAAGTGCAGAATCGCCTACTGCTTGGCGCGTTTTTAAGAATTGCACACACTTGGTATCCATGTACACATCGACTTATTTTCACTTAAAAAAACATCCCAGAATTGCACAAAAATGGCATTGTGCACTCCCTTGACTTTATCCATGTACACATCGACCTATCTGCACTTAAAAAGTCAAAGAAAATTGACAAAAATCCAAGTCTTCTTGATCTTGTAAAAAGCGCCAAACAAATAAGTGGAGGATTCTGCACTTTAGCCATACCTTCTGTCATATGCAGATTTACTATACTTAGATATGCAGATTGCAGTTGTTGTTGTAATATATCTAGGTAATGTTCATTTCACAAAACACTTTTATTTGTACAAAAACATCATCACTGCACATAAACGTGTACAACTCCACGACCGACTTTCATAGTCTCCATCCCGGTTAACATTCGCTAATTTTTTATTTTACCCATAGGATATGCTATTACATCTAACAAATTTGAACTAATAATTTCATATAAATTTAATTTGCTTTGCTATATATATACACACAAGTTATAAAAAGTAAAACAGTAATGAAGCACGTTTACCTCCTTTTTGAACACTCTTTTAAGGTTAAATGTTTCAGTTTCTTACACTACATGATCATTACAATAACGGAATACAATACTTTCATAATAATAAAAGTTGAAAAGTTAATAACACCATACATCTGCAAATACTAAAACCATATGACAGATTACGAAAAACTGCCAGATTAGAAAATTAAATTTCTTTTCAGCTATTTTTCTCAGATCCTCATATGCACTGAGTTTTTATCCAAAATTAAAACAAACTGATTATGAATTCCTCATAATTTTAAAGTTTAAATAGAACTTTTAGTAACTATAGAGTTATATTTTTTATTTTAGACGAGAGGTTTGGTTTAAGACGGACATCCGTAAAGCGACGTGTTTTCCCAATGGGAAAAATTTTATCTTCAAGGTGGCAACAAAATTCTTTGATCATGTTTAAATCGCTAGTAAATACAAATTTTAGCACCGTGATCGTGAATTAGCGTTGTGAGGTATTTTGTTGCATGCTGATTAATTGTTACTAATTGTGTGATTATATTTTATAGAATTTGTTTTATAAATTAAACACCAAACAAATGTAATTAATTATATGGTAGCTGGATTTCCAAGAAATAATTTCGCTGACAAAATAGTTTGTGATTGGTACGGGAGTATAATTTTTTCTTATTCTTACTATTTTTCTGTATTTTTCACATACATTTAAAAGTTGGCCAGAGGATTTTGAGTTGACAGCATTCATACGTTGTTTCTGCTAATTGTATACGCATTTTTTACTATTTATTTTTTAAGAAACTGGATTTAAATCTGATACTCCGAAAAAATTGTGTGTGCATATATATATGGGTAAAAATTAAAGGGGAAAAAAAGTTTCACTTTGACCTAGCTTGTAAATAAAAGTGTATCAGTTTCGAGGGCGAATTGACATGAATGTTTGTTCAAGATGGTTCATCCTTTGAAACCGATAGAGTTTAATGTAAAGCTGTGTCAGTCTAAGACTGTTTTTGGTTGATCTTTACATTACGGTAACTGGTAGTTTGGCGACATTTTGGAGGCGATAAAGGTTACTACCTGGGACTTTGGTAATAATGTGAGCAGTACTGAGTTCCGATTACGCATTATTTTGTGTGGGGGAAATGCGAGATCATGGGAATGTCATGTGATATTAATGGACGAATTACGGTTCTTTAATCGGAAAAGGGGGAAATCGGGAAAAAAATCTGGAAATTTTTATTGCGTTTAGCATTTTGTATTTAGCTTCATAGTGTGTAATGTGTGAAACAGTGTTGATTGAATTTTTGGATCCCATGGCCCTATAAGTAAAGTGAATTCGAAATGGGTATTTGTGGTATGAAAGGATAGTAAGAAATGTTTTTTAAGGTTGTGTGAGAGAGAAATAAACATGTTTTATTATGTTATTTATTTTCCTGGTATCTTGCTTTGAAAGATAAGTATGATTTTAAAGATTCTGAAAGAGAATGAAGAAAAGTGTGTATCCGCACGTAATGAAATTCTGAGGAGATTAAGTACGTTAGTATTTTAATTATTTTTATGCATGTTGGAAATGTAAGGTGGAAAGGAATTTGGTATTATTGGGAAAATGTTATTAGCAATGATTTAGTTTAAAGTAATTAGGATTGTAAGGTAATTTTTATTAATTGAATGTATGTGCTCATGTATATTTAAGTGGTGTTTTGAATTTAATTATATTTTAATGAAATGATAGTTATTTTGTGAATTTTAACTTGTAGGAATTTGGTGTAGTTTAAGTTGAAATAAATGTTGCATGGAATAATTTAAATATTTGATAATAAATATTTGTAATGCTTCATGTATGAATTCGTTGGTGACGTGTATAATGTAATAGATGATTTAGAGGTAAAAGTTTTTGGATATTTATTTATTTTATATGTGGAAATGTTCATATTTGTAAAGGGTAAATACTTTTCGCGATCATGTAATTTCATATATGTTCTTTTTACCGGGTTTAAAGATTGAGAAAAATTGTCATGTATTTCGTGAAATTTTTTTAATTTATGAGATAAAAGCAGTGTACATGGATATAGTGAAGAGTGTGCGCAATGCCATTTTTGTGCAATTCTGGGATGTTTTTTTAAGTAAAAATAAGTCGACGTGTACATGGTTCAGTGATATTTAATGAAATGATAGTTATTTTGTGAAATTTATGCTTGTAGGATTTGGTTTACGTTTAAGTTGAAATAAACGTGCATGGAAATAATTTAAAATATTTGCATGGAATTAATTTAAATATTTGTAAATGCTTAGTATTGAAGTATCGTTGGTAACGTGTATAATGTAATAGATGATTTAGAGGTAAAAGGTTTTGGATATTTTATTTTTTATATGTGGAAATGTTCATATTGTAAAGGGTAAATACTTTTTCGCGATCAGGTAATTTCATATATGTTCTTTTTACCGGGTTTAAAGGTTGAGAAATTGTCATGTATTTTCGTGAAATTTTTCGATTTATGAGAAAAAAGCAGTGTACATGGATACAGTGAAGAGTGTGCGCATGCCATTTTTGTGCAATTCTGGGATGTTTTTTTAAGTAAAAAAAGTCGGGTTGTACATGGTTTATGTGTATGTGTTATTTTGAAAAAACGCGTAAGGTGTAGGTATGTATTGTGCACTTTTTCTGAATTTTGCAGTGAATATTTGTCATGATTAAGCAGTTTTGTTGATAAAATTTCTAGCATAGTGTAATTCGGCTAGTATTGTTGGAAGAAGTGTTCGTAGATAAGAAGAAAAAGAAACATGTCTACTTCGTGAAGACAAAATGGCGGCGGGGAAAAAAAAATAGAGGGTTGCTGTAGGGGAGTTGGTCGCCAAATTTTCGCGAAAAAATCGCTAAGTTACCGTAATGTAAAGATCAACCCTGTTTTTCTTCTCCTCGCTCCTTTTCCTAGTTTTACATTACCGATTTACTATTCCATATAATGTTCATATTTTTTCAAGATTTGCAGTGAAGAAATAGTAATTTTTAGTGTAATATATTAGTTGTTATTTCATAGTTGATTTTTTTGTAGTTTCAGTAGTTTTATTTGTGCATTGAGAAGAAATGTCTCGTACTACCAAGAAAAAATATGTTGTTGAAGAAGTTTTAAATAAATATGATCTTCCTGCTGACAATCAGCGAATTGTGAAAGTAAGTAAAAAAATTAATCATTAAGTGCAAAGCTTTTAAAGTAATTTTGAAACTGAATGTACGTTATATCTCAGTGTACATTATATCTCAGTTGACTGACATAGAAGGAAAATGTAATGTATTTTATTTTTATATAAAAGTTTGCATGTCTATTATTTTCATAATTGAAAATTCCATATGCTGATATTTATTATTTTGATTAAGTTTACTAGAGTTCTTTATGAATTACATCTTTAAAATTATATATTCTTTTGCGGCTGATCTTTGGAATATGGTAACAGGTAGTTTGGCGAAATTTGAGGCGTAAGTTACTACCTGGGACTCGGGAAAATGTGGTTTCTCAGTTCCGATTACGCATTATTTTGTGAGGGAATGAGAGATCATGAGATATGTATGTGACATTATGACGAATCACTGTTCTTTAATCGGAAAAAGGGGGTTATATTGTAAAAATATGCTGTACTTTAGCAGTAGTTCTTTTAAGTTCGTGAACAGGTGTTTTATTTGGATCGCATGGCCGTTTATAAGTAAATCCGAAATTTTATTCGTTTTCGTGTTGAACTGTAAAGAATGCTTAATGGGATAGTAGGAATGTCAGATAGGTGGGAATGAAATGAGATGTGTGAAAGGAGATTTACAGATAGTTGAATGGCGGTGCAGAAACCTGGTGAAAATGGAATTTGTGATCGCATGCACTCAAGATTGGTAGAGATTAGGTAGTAGTATTTTTAATATTTGAGGATATTTTTTTATGCTTGTTCTAAATGTAAGGAGTAAATAATTAGGTTATGAAATTGTTATAGCAATGATTAGTTAAAATAATTCGGATTGTAGCTAATTTTATTAATTTAGTATGTGCTTATTTTATTTTAAGTGTGTTTTTTAATTTAATTATATTTTAATTAATGATCTGATTTTGAGAGTTATATGTTTGTAGTATTTTGGAATACGTTTGAGTAGAAGTAAATGTGCATGGGAAAGAATTTAAGTATTTGACATAATTATTGTAATCATTTTTAATGTTTTGTTATAAATTCGTTGGTGACGTTTATAATAGATAATTAGAGGTAAAAGTTTTTGGATATTATTTTTTTGTGCGTGCAAATGTCCATCCTTGGAAAAGGGTATATATTTTTTCGCGATCAGGTAATTTCATATATGTCCTTTTTACCGAATTTAAAGATTCACAAAAATTTCATGCATTTTCGTGAAATTTTCTAATTTATGAGAAAAAAGCATTGTACATGGATATAGTGAAGAGTGTGCAAATGCCAATTTTGTGCAATTCTGGGATGTTTTTTAAGTAAAAATAAGTCGACGTGTACATGGTTTAGTGATATTTAATTAAATGATAGTTATTTTGTGAATTTTAGTTTGTAGGAATTTGGTATACATTTCAGTTGAACTAAACGTGTATGGAAATAATTTAAATATTTGACACTAAGTATTTGTAACCATTTGTAATGTTTGCGGTATGAATTCGTTTAGTGACGTTTATAATATAATAGATAATTTAGATGTAAAAGTTTTGGATATTTTATTTATTTATACGTGGAAATGTTAATCTTTGGAAAGGGTATATACTTTTTCGCAATCGGGTAATTCATATATGTTCTTTTTACCGGATTTAAAAAGATTCACAAAATTTCATGCATTTTCGTGAAATGAAATTTTCTAATTTATGAGAAAAAAGCAGTGTACATGGATATAGTGAAGAGTGTGCACAATGCCATTTTTGTGCAATTCTGGGATGTTTTTTTAAGTAGTAAAATAAGTCGACGTGTACATGGTTTAGGATATTTTAATTAAATGATAGTTATTTTGTGAATTTATGTTGTAGGAATTTGGTATACGTTTCATTGAAGTAAAACATGCATGAAAATAATTTAAATATTTGACACTAAGTATTTGTAACCATTTGTAATGTTTGCGGTAGAATTCGTTGGTGATGTTTATAATATAACAGATAATTTAGACGTAAAAGTTTTGGATATTTATTTATTTTATACGTGGAAAGTTCATCCTTGAAAGGGTATATACTTTTCGCGATCAGGTAATTTCATATATGTGCTTTTTACCGAGTTTAATGATTCACAGAATTTTTTGCATTTCATGCACATTTTTGTAATTTATGAGAAAATAGCAGTGTAGTGGATAAAGTTAAGAGGTGTGTGCAATGCCATTTTGTGCAATTCTGGGATGTTTTATTAAGTAAAAAGAAGTTGACGTGTAATGGTTTATGTTTATGTGTATTCTGAAAAACGTGCAGGAGTTTGCGATTGTGCACTTTTTCCAATTTTGCAGTTAATATTTGTCATGATTAAGTAGTTTTGTCACATAAAATTTCTAGCATAAGTGTAATTCGGCTAGTAGATTGTTGGAAAAGTGTTCTGTAAATAAAAAGAAAAGAAACATGTCTTGACTTCGTGAAGACAAAATGGCGGCGGAAAAAAAAATAGAGAGTTGCTGTAGCAGAGTTGGTCGCCAAATTTTCGCCAAAAAATCGCCAAGTTACCATAATCCAAAGATCAACCCATTTTGCTACTTTTTTGTTAATACAGTCACCTTATAAGCATTTGACAACATTTCAAAACTGCAGAATAGAAATAAGGCAAATAAGTTTGCTAGTTTTGGTGACTAACTGAACTTCTGATTTAGTAAAGAAACACCATTATTCTTTATATTACTGGATAATATGTAATGAATATAACAGTTTTGAGAAGTTTTATTTAGGAACATGTCTCTCTGCTAGTATTTTTTTATGTATATGCTTTTTAGAAATGAAATTTCTGTAATATTTATCTTTTTGTATATCATTATTGGATATTTAGGGTCATTATTCATATCTGTGGAAATTTTGAAAAAAAAAATGTATGCAAAATGTAAAAACAAAAAAGTCAAATTTTCTGCATTTACTACAGTGCATATGCAACTATGTAAGACACGGTGCTGACTGTGTTTTGGGTAGTATCAAAGTGTCATTATGTACTTCACACTGGCACATGATTATATATTAGGTGATAGTGCCATATCACACACCTGCATGTAATTGGTAATGTTGTGACCCATGTTAAATTGTGACTGGGTTAAACTTTGTATTTTTCCTGAAGGCTATGAAGTGATGCCCGGATCTAGCGGGGGGCAAGCCAGAGTTCTTGCCCCGAGCGGCAACTTTTGAGGGCGGAAAATTCAAATATAACGCTGGATCGTTTTGGCATCTTGTTCGCTAAAACAGCTCTCTAATTTTAGTACAATGTTAATAGTTTTAAGGCCAAGTTTTAAAAATCTCTTCTAAGAAGATTTGTAATTAAATACTAAGAACCCTTTTAAAGGAACATGAGTTAAAATAAAGTACAGCCAATTACAACTATTAATACAAGATCAGAAAGAGGCCGATAGAGGGACCCCAGGCATCACTGATAGAATCAGACTGACCATGTCAGTAACATTTGGAGTCCCTGCATCATTTGCTGTCTAGGCCGGGCGTGTTCAAATAATAAATAGAATGATAGATAGAAGAAGTCACCTGGTTCCCATAGCAACGTCTGCTGGGAAATGGAGAAGCATTATAACTATTGTTTAAGAGCTAACCCAAAAAATTAACTTTGGGCCATCCTGGAAAAATGAAATAATTCAAATTAATATTCATCGAGTATATACAAGACACAGATATTATGTCTTCAAGTTGAAACAAGGCATTTAGATTTTTTCCAGCCAGTTGGCAATTTAGGCTCACCTTTGGTTTGACTCGGAACGGTGGAGCACATGTTGGATTTTAAAGCTAGATTTATTATTTCTATGTTTTTCTCCTACCCAGGTCTCTTCTGCCTTTTCTTTTTTTAAGATATGCTAGCTTTTAATAGCCCGCACTATATTTAGCGACACACGACCATTTATTTAGGACTGTTCAGTGTAATTATGTCAATTCTTAGTTATTCTTATTAAGGTAATTCATAGTGAATTTCATTTAGATTAAAAGGAACCATCTGCGCATCGAGGGGGAGAAAAGCGCAAAGATAAGGCCAGACAGAGAAAACAAATTTCAGCTAAGATGAAAAAATAACTTCACAGAAGAAGTAAACCGTCAGATCTTGCCGCAGTTCCGATTGTGCTGAGATTCTAGAGGGAATTAATATTTCTTGCAATTTGCATAACCAAACATGACTGCATATATCATCCCCAAACAATATACAAGTCAGCATTTGAAAGAATAAACTTCTTCATCGACATCAAATGAATAGCTGGAGGACATGAAACCAAGATATAAAGATCTCTTCATTTAGATGGGAACGGGCAGCAGAAAGACGAAAAATTAAAAATTTTTTATTTGTTGGATGCATGCAATTGGCTGGGCATAAAAAAAAAAAAAAATGAACGGTCGCCAACAATCTCTCTTAAGCAGTCAATCAGTATTATTAGCCGGTAAACATCCGAGAAAACGTACCTCAATCCCATTGAACGTCATGGCAGACATTTGACATGTTATACAGAACATTAGTAAATAATAAAAAGCTTAGATCTTGCATATTCTAAAAACAAGAATGCAATTTTTTATACACCGTGCAAAATTTATCAGAAACATGGTGCTGCCATTACACTATACAACAGGATTCATTAATTGGAAACAAGTTTTAGCAAGATTAACTGAGCTCAAAGCATCTGGAATCTACAGACGAGCATCTGTTACATGCTGTGAAAAATTTGAATTTACTCAAGTGGAAAATTCGAGTACAACAAATGAAATCATGCCAAGGCATCGATCACGACACTGAGCGACTCATTCATACAGAAAAAGAAAAAAGGAGAAAAATTCCATATAGTCATGGATGCGGTACTATGTCTTTCAACAATGTATCGTTCTTTTCTTGGGTCTGATGAAATCTCAAGTAGCCTGTTCACAAAGTGTCCTCGATCTAGCGAAAGAAATTTTCTGAATTTTAATCTCTCCGCTTGCCAAACATAATTCAACTCTTAAGTACAAGCACCTAACAATGGGAAAG